TATGGTTCATGGGGTCACGAAGAGTCGGACACGACTTAACGACTAAACAACAACAAATAGGGGCTAAAAATCCTCTAGAATTAGCAAATGGGACATTTTTACAAATAGCAGTAACTTGATCTTGATCTCTAGATTTAGTCATTTGTAAACAGGGAAGCCTTGAGATTACATACTATTTTGCTGATATAATTACTAACATTCTCAGAAGAAATAGTGAATTCATTGTCCAGGAGATTAAATATAGGACACATTTTTCCATGTTTAGAAACTGTATTTTAATTTTATATGTACTTTATGAAGGGAAAAGAGCTGATATTTCGTACTTTTTATGAATATGCTATGTGGTGATTTGAAACTGAGGTGAAATACCTTAGATTTATTATTAAAAAAAAAAAGAGTCAATAAGTGCATTCCCCCCTTCATGGTTCCCATAATGACCCTTTTGGAATACTGTACCCAAGTTAGAGTGTGTAATGTACAGATTGCAGGATCATATGATACTTATTTTATTTAAATATTTTTTGTTTAATTCTGATCAAATGTGCAAATCAAGGTGCAGAGCAACAGAGATGAATTTGTGATTAATTGATTATTTCTCACTGATTTTCTTGAAATCCTACCAGTTCTTTCTTATTTTGTTTTTTACCTCACAAAAAAGTTAGATTTTTTTAAAATTATCAAATGATTATTGTATTTGTTCCTGCTTTTAAAAAAAAAATCAACTCAAGTTTTCAAACTGAGATGTCTATGATAACCCCAAGTAAAAATAGGTAATTCAGTCCACTGAAGGTTTCGCTAACTAAAGTAACTTGGAAGTAGCCTATTTGATGCCTGTTGGCACCAGTGTACTTCCAGAAAGGGAATTAACATGCTTCATAACTGAGCACCAGCATCATATTTATATTTAAGAATGTTGTCGGGCCATCGATTGGCCATAAAAACAATGGTTTGCAATGCGGTGCTTTGGTGATATATCCATTTGCTCAGAAAAAAGATACAGCTTGGGCAGAAGCATGTGGCAAGAAATATCACCTCCTATTTACCTAGGTGGTTTTCTTTGTGTCTAGCCATAGTCTACCACCCAGAGTTGCTTGAAGTTGGGTGGCATATAAATTTAAATAACAACAACAACAACAACAACAACCTAGTTAGCTGCTGCAAGCAGATCGCACAGACTGACTACAAACAACAGCATGACAAAGTAGCACCAATGGTGCATTGGAATATCTGCAAGAAATACCATTTGCCTGCAAACAAGAACTGGTGGGA